GACGCCACCAGGCCGTTGAAGTAGTCCGTCGGGACCACTTGGTCGTCTTGCCCTACCGGAATGCCCGAGAGTTCCAGGAGCTGGGCGAAGCGGACTGCCGGCTCCCCGCCCAGCTTCCTCCCCGCGCAGGCACATCAGGACAGCTCCCCGTCCGTCTGTCTCGGGGAGAAGGACTCATCCGCCAATGTGTCCCATAGGACCCTTGGAATGCGGTCCCAAAGACGTGTGTAAGGCGGGCGCAAAAGAAACTTGGTAGAAACCCTAGCCATGAGGAAAAGGGTCCTATCGAACGGCCGGGACCCAACCACGGCACAATGCATGCATGTTCCAAACGCGCAGAATGCCGAGTGCAGATGGAGCAGGCAGGCCAAACGCAGCCCGACAGGACCAAAAGCCAACCCCCGGAAATCCCCAAAAGCACGGAGGGGGGAGACCAACCAGGCGGGGGATTCCCCAAAAACCCCCAAGGGGACCTCAAGGAAACCAAGAGTCAGCCGCAGCCACTTTTTCCGAACCGTGGCTGATATGGCCCGTCCTTGGGGCAGCCAATGCATGTGGCCTCCAGATCGAGGCAATCCGGCTGTCGTGACGTGTTGAACAGGGGGGAAACAATGGTGAAAGATGAGCCCAAAAGGAGACACCCTTACTCCTCCCCCCACCCGAGACGGGGCCAAAGGCGCCCAAGTCCCGGCGGGAAGAGATCACACGACTCCACATCCAAAAGGGCTGTGAGACACGACCTAGCGGCTCTCACCCTTCAAGATCGCCTCCTTTGCCACCGAGTGGATGGCCGCCAGCCCCGACTTCTCCGGGTTGCTCAAAATGACCGACCACAAGGCAGTGGAGACAGCCCCCAGGCCATTCGAGGAGCTGAAGCGCATGCGGGGGGTGCTCGCGTCGCCCAGGACTAGCCGCTCGTCCCTGAGAGGCTCCGTCGGCTCCACCCTCTTGTAGAACTCCATCCTGTCACGGATCCACTGATTATATAGCTGCTCCGTGGCCTTGTCTTTGTGCCACCCCGTGATCTGGAGCAGCCTGTTTTTTTCGCGGCTCGCCCTCCAGAAGCCCTTGCAAAATCTGCACATATAGCCCCCGGTGGTCTTGAACTTCTCCTTGGGCCCAACACACATGCTTCGTCTCCTTGGGGAAGTGCTTGTTGATGTACTTCCGGCCCGCGACCGCCGTGACCGTGGCCGTGGTGATGGGCGGGTATCGCCTGGTGCCTGGTCTGGTGCGCGGAGCGTGGTGTCTGCCCCCCCCAGAACCTTGGCCTTGGGGTCCGCCTCCTTGGCCGCTCCTCCCCCCGGGCCAGAGGCACCCAAGGGGGGGGAGCAACCCAGCTGCCGGATGAGGTCCTGGGAGTAACCCAACCTGTCGTACAAGGCCCCCGCCACCTCCTGCGGGACCTGCTCGACCCAGTCGTGGACCACGTTGCAGCGCCAGTTGACCTTCACCTCCACCATCGAAGACTTGCTCAGGCCCGCCACCAACTTGGCGCAGACCGAGCCGAAGGCCTTCAGCGTGATCCGCTCGTCGCAGACCGCCCTGAAACGCAGCGCCTCCTTACTGTCGTGGACGGGGGCCACTGGGATCTCCATCACAGGCAACGGGAAGTTGACGATGAAATTCTTGGCCGCCAAAAACGTCCCCATCTCCTTGAAGATGTAGCTCCATTCCGCCTTGCTGCGCGGCTTGGGGATGCCCAGGCTCTCCAGGAAGGGCACCGCCTCCTTCCTCATCTGGAGGATGTTGCCCATCCACTTGTCCGAGGTCGAGCCCTCCGCATTGCGGCCCCGGCGTTGCGTCTTCACGATCAACGGGGGAAAGTGGTCCAGGCCGAGTAGATGTACTTGAAAGTGAACCTGTGGGCGTACACCCCCGTCAGGCTCGGCAGGTCCCACGTTCTCGTCTGCCTGGTCCAAAACACCCCATCACCTTTCGCCCAGAAGATGCCCACCACCTGCTCCGGCGCCGGGCACTCGCCCCGGTTCACCTGCGCTCGGATCTCCAAGGCCGTGTAGATGACTGGGTCGATGTGGTCCTGCTCGCACGTGAGTGGGTGAGTCCTGCGCTCCAGGGCCAGGAGCTCCTCCGGCGTGAGCTTGAACTGCCGGTCAGCGCCCTTGGGGATCTCACCGCTTGCGTGCTTCTTCCAGATCCCCCCAAACATCCGGAGCTCGGGACAGCTTGCCCTCCTCCGAGTCCAGGTCCTGCTGTGACCCCCAGGGCCAGTGGCACCCTTAGGGGCGGCCGGTGCCACCAGATCGGGCATCTCCTCCAGCAGCGCCGGTTCTGCGACTCTCTGAGCCTCCTGATGTAGGGGACATACTTCTTTTTGATGTCTCCCACCTGGGGGATGTCCTCGGGTCATCCAGCTCCAGGGGGCAGAATAGCCCCCTCTCCAGTGCCTGCCTGAGATCATCCGGCCACGCCGACGCTTCCAAGGGCTTGAGAGTGTGGTTGAGCATCCATGCCTGGTTGGTGTCCTGGGTGCGCTTGTTCGCCGCCTGAGCCTCCTGAATGGAGCCCATCGCCTCAGCCAGTGCCTGGCTGGCGTCAACGCCCTTCCCCTCCAGGTACTGGTCTCGCAGCTTGGCCTTGAATCGCTCCAGGTTGACCTTCCTGAAACCACGGGCTCCCTCATTGGCCACCTCCTCTGACGGCAGGGCCTGCATGCCCTCCTGGAGAGGCGCCAGGATAGCCATCTCGTTGTCCAGCATCTCCTCCGTGACCAACTCCTTGTGCCGCCGCCTGGCCGAGGACTCCTCCGGGGTCGGTTCCCGATGCTCCCTCAAGGCCTTATGCAGCTCCTCCTTCTTCCGGATCGCCTGGTCCACCTGGGGGTGGTAGAGCTGGAAGCTCTGAGCCTCCGCCTCCTTCAGGGACCGCTGCACTTTGACCTTGATCTCCTGGCATTCCCGGACCTTCAACGCCTCGTCGTCCGCCTCCATGGACAGGATCTCCTGCCGGATGTCCACCCGCCTGTTGAGCGGGACCACATCTGCCATGGTGATCTCCTCTGCCGTGTCCGTTTTCGGAGGAGCTCTCCCCAGGACCGTGCCGTCCACCAGGTTGCGGTCTGCCTGTGCCCGGGTACCACCGGGGCCAGCGGCACCCAGGCTTCCCCCCTTCCCGCTGTTGGATCCAGGTCGGCTTGCCCTCCACGATGAGCAGGTTGTAGGTGATGCCGTCCGCCTCATAGGTGGCCCAGGGTGCCTGGAAGGGGACAAATTCTTGCCTGGGCAGACCCAGCACTGCTTGGCTGCCTCTGGCCACCCCGTGCCGCATGCCTTGCACATGAACTTGTAATCGGAATGGCCTGCATCCTTTGCTGGGTGCCAATGCACGCCTTGTTCCTCTGGAACTGCGAGGCCCAGACCTCCTCCTGCCGGATCTGGATCTTCATCGGGACATAGGCCTCCAGGATACGAATCACCAGGTCCTCCGTGAGATTCTTCCCGACAAACTTGTGGAACAGGGAGACCGCCTCCTCCACCGTGACGTCCCTCAGCAAAGTGGCCGCCGATGCCGGAAGGACCGGGAAGAGGTCTGGGAGGTCCACCAGCTTGAAGTAACCGGGTCGGCCCTCAACCGGCACCAAGGAGACCGGTTTGTTCACATGAGCCGTGGTCTTCTGGGAAGCCGCCACGAAACCCCTCAGCCTCTTCGTGGGTGGTGTCTGTGCCTCCTCCGGTGGAGTGGCCCGCTCCGTGACGTCCGCATCTTCCATGTCCTTGTCCTCCTCCTCGGCGGGGCCAGGGGCACCCAAGCCGGAAGTCGGTGTGGCAAACGCCACACGGAGACGCTCCAGTGCACTGGAGAGGTCCTTCATCACGTCGGTAGCCGAAGCCGACGGGGGGGCCTCGGGCTCGTCCAAAACCAGGCCGGCCGCCACTGCCGCCTCGCGTGTGCGAATTTCCTGGGCCTCCTGGCTGGCCATTTCAACCTCCTCCACGGTGAGCGTCTGGTCCTCAATCAGCTCAAAGGAGGTGGCCGAGGTTGCCGAGGAAGCCATTGCTTGATCGGGGTTAGTTCGAAAGTGTCCAAACTCAATTTTTTTCACACAAATTGGGTTCTGGGAACCCAGGGCAAAGCTTGAGCCAAAATGGCACATGCCATTATGGTCAAGCATTTCAAACACAGTTCATGTTTCCACATGCGTTTCAACATTAACAAAATATGTATGCCGTAAAGGCAGTAGCTCATCGACAATCGAAAACACACAACAACAAGTGATACAGAAACACGGCCAACATTTCAGCAGCGCTTGCAAAGCACCCAAACGTTGATGACCCTTCTTGTTAACTCTCTAGGTACTGCACCATTTGTTCTAGGTGCGAAGACCTGCTAGACTCTGCAAATGTAGAGACTCCGCGAATTGTGATAGCACTGCTAGCTTTCCATTGCAAAACCGGTCAAAATGTGAGGCGCTGCTGTGCGCGATAGTGAACATGTGAGCCTTCTCAAGATGATCTGACATCCTGCGAACTTGGGTGGCAAATGCCTCTACGAACGCTGAGTCGCGTGCTTTGACCTCCCTGCATCATGCGACTCATCTGGCAAAAGTGAGCAAACACGTCCAGTTTGTGCGCCTCTGGGCGCCGCATCCTGGCATGCTGAAGCGGATCGGTGGAACTTCGAAGCCATTGGTCTAAACCCCACCCACCACGTCCTAAACTTTGACAATGCAAAGTGCAAAGTAGAATTCAGCAATTAAAGGTCTCACCAAAAAAGCTTCAGACAACTTGATCTGGGCAGCTTCTGCGAATCAACCTCAAACAACGGGGAAACCAGCTGCTTGAAGCCCCTTTACAGGTCCTGATTCCCAAAACATAGTCTGAACCCCCGCAAACATCATATCATTGCCTGGGATGCTCTTGGCTTTGCAAAAACCTTCAGCTTTGAGTTTGCATCGCGGGCTTACGTTCTTAATCCCTTGCGCAACATGAGGTACCCTTTACCCTGTAATTGCCCACAACAGTGAACGAAAAGGAAACCCCTCAGTAAATCAAAAGACTGTGCCATTTTTCCGGGGCCCCCTGCTCGTCAATCATCTCCCTGGCCAGTTGCGCTGCCTTGGTCTCAGCTTCAGCCTGGGCAACATGAGGACCGTTGGGTGAGGAGGATCCATGCCCACATACTGGATGGACGAAATCTATTTCGCACCCCTAGAATGATATGATCCCCTGTAAATACCAACACACAATGGTTTCAACCATGGTGTCTTGGGTGGCCATGCCAACATAGGGCTCTTTGCGGCATCCCCGCCATAACATTTTGATCAAGCTGCCATGGTGCCCGGTCTACATCACATGAAAAGTTTCATAGCATTCACTCAAGAGATCACTCGTCGGGGAAGACTGCTTCTTGTGACACGCATCATGAAGCGTAAAGACCCTAACCACAGGGCAAAGACATGCAACCAATTCTCCACCCAATGCACAAGCGGATCTATTCAAGGAAAGCACAAGCCACTGGCTCCTTGGCCAGCAGGACGCGAACAAAAAACCGCCGCCCCGCGCCGCGTGCTTCTTTTAATCGCCCGTGTCGCTTGCAGAGCCACAGCTTGCGCAGTCTTCTCAGTGGCCGCCAAGCCCAAGCGCTGGAGGATGGCAGCGCCGAGATGGGCCACGACTGGCGGGCAGACTGCGTTACCAAACCTGGGCAGAGGGGTGCTACTAGGTTTCTCCAGTCTGGTCCTGCTGCTTTACTTGGTGCTCTGCTTATTCTTATGTTTGATATGCGTGCCACTATTAGTATGTGTGACACTATTGCCGGTGGTGTTATTGCTGTTTATGTTTCTATTGTTGCTTTTGACTTTGTTGATGTCCTTGTTGTCCTCTTGTGCTCTTATTGTTCTTCTTGTTATGGCTTCTTTGTTGCTTGTTCTTGTTCTATCGTTTCTTCTCATGGAGTGGCGATGCAGCATGCCCGCTCCCATTGAATCGAGCATGATGTTTGCGTTCCTCGAGCACAGCTTCAAACCTGCTTGTTATATTTCTGTGATATGAAAGCTTTGACCGCAACCCCTTCAGGCCAGTATAAACCACATACCACTAGGATGCAACTTGACGCACAACCACATGCACCACGGCCTTATAAACTTCCATGTTCCCGTGGCATCAAACGGAGGCACAGCTTTATAGATTAGCTTTGACAGTTGTCATGCGGCAGGTGCGTAGTGCCCACATTTGAATGGGTGCCCCTGCGAAACAGTCTGCCCCCAAAGCTAAAGTTCTGGGCTCGACTCAATATTTGCTCGGCATTGCCAAATAAGTTAAGGTTTAAACCTGTGTCATCTAGTATGCATCTGGAACTGCTGAGGCTTTGTATCTGAAATTCCATATTGTGAGTACTTACTAAAGCTTGTGCAAATATATGTAACAATTATATAACGTATCAACAAAAAGATGCAATCACGCTGGGCAAGTGCCAAGAAGCAAAAGACTGAAGTGCTTGTATAGAATGCTCCCACCATGTGTTATGCATGCTTTGAGAGTTGCAGGCTGCACCTGTGTGAGAATGTGAGCATAATTCTAGGGGCTGGTGAATTAGCGCCAGCTAGACATACTTCCTGTTGTATGGTCCTGTCAATCCTAGGTTGGCACACTTGTTGCACCAAAACCCACCCAGGCTGGCATCTGCAGCCATTGCATCTGCAAACCTCTCAGTCCAAACTTGGTAGGATCAGGCATGGCTTGAATTGGGACCTCACCGCAACTGTACGTTATCACGATTCACAACATATATGCCGCCGTCTCCATCTCCATCACTTCGCCAAACTCCCCCCCCCCATGTCGCCATCTTCGACCAGGCACAGGGGGTACATCTGCCGGTCCTGCAGGGTTCCCTTTTTTCACCCCTTGAAGCATCACCCCAAAAGGGACCCCACTCTGAGGCCCAAAGATTCAACGTTTACGTTCCAAACAACCAGATGCAGAAAGCAGTTGGGTGATGTGCAAGCAGATTGAAGCACATTTGAAGACCATGTCTTGCAACTCAACCAGGAAACACGTGTTGAACATCACCAAAAACGAGACCTATGCGTCCGAAGCCTGTCCTTGGCCAGATCGAAGCGGTTCGGGAAGCCCATGATCCTCGCGCACTCGCGGCCCGTGAAGAGCCGAGGGTTCGAAGGCGAAACCCGCGGGACCAGCTGCGAGAGGCCTTTCCACACCTCGAGTTCACTGCGGCCACTGCGGCCAATGGGTCTGTGTCAGTCTTGCGAATTTTCCGGCCCCGTGGCTCTTTTGCTCTCATGGGGATGCTCAGAGTGGTTTGGCTTTGGCCCTTTGGCTTGACATCACCAGAAATGGGTGCCCTCAGCCTCAAAGAACACGCATCCGAATTGATAATTGATGGTGCATACGGGTTGTCAATATGCATTGGCCCTTGCCAACCATCATGAGAAATGGGATAAGGGCATCATGAGGAGGGTTTCCACGCGGATGCCCAACATAGCTCTCACTCCGCTCTCTGACGCGGCCAAGCTCGTGTCCCCCCGCCCCTCCGACCTTTCTCAGCAAGGCGCACTCACAGAATAGTGGCTGATGAGCGTCTCCAGCTTGCGGTCGCCCCAAGCAAGGCTCCGGCTCATGCGAGAGCGGGTCCTCCGGGTGGCTGCAAACTCTCCACCGCTCAGTTCGGAAATAGGCCAAACTTGCTTTGCCTGGCTGGTGCTCATGTTTTATACAAGATGATAGTGTTACGATACCGCGCAAAAGGCTATGTGGTGGAAGTGCACAACACATGTTGTTGAACGAACCCCTCCCCCCCCCCCCGGAAAACCAAAAACGCAAAAAGATGAAAAGCGCAAAGGGTTGCACGAGCCAAGTGACGACGCGCAACCGCGCTGCTGAGCCAATGGTCCGTTGCCGACACGGCTCTGAGCCTGCTCCAAGACAGGGTTCGCACATCTCCAAGGAGCTGTATTCATGCACACAACTACTTCTTCTGCTCGCTTTGCCGATGAACGTTGACCTCTTGTTGATACTGACGGCTCTCCTGCACTATCTTACTTGGATTATACAATTTCACTGTGTGCAGTCTTTGGGTTTGACTATGTCCAGTGTTGCCGATGATTATTGAAAATATGCGCAGTGATGAGAAAGAGAGCGCCTTAACATGAAGAACCCGTTCTACTCCGCTGTGCGAACAAACTGGAGGAAACCGAGTTCCGGTTGACCTCTGACAAGCTGCAATCAAGTTCGCAAAAACACAAAAAGAACATGACCGGACACCCAAACCAAGAGCGGTCTTTAGTTGAGGTGTTGCTTGACCAACGGGAGTCTCCTCAACCGCTCCAACTGTTGGTCTGAGATGGTGTAGAGCTCCACGGCTTCTCCCAACTCTTCATCCCCGTCAAGGACATCCTCGCAACGATGACACACTTCGGAAAGGTTTTTGTGGCTCGCTGAAAGTACGGAAGACTGTGCGATTTGGGTGATTGGGGGATTGAAGCAAATGCGTTGAGATGAGTCAAGAGCGGACAACATCACGCAAACAGGCACACGCTCAGGGCTTGCACGTTCTCCCGGCAAGCTCGCCACGTGATGGAAGCACAGTCAGATTCAACGCCCAGCGACGAGACTCGACACACACACACACACACACACACATCCATATCAGCCTTACATCAAGTGCAATGCTGAGCCCGTGATGAGCTAATCCTGCTCCCAAGCGAGACCAACATAAATGTCTTTATCAGACAACGCTTGTCATGCGTGGGATCAGCAGCCAAGATATAAACAACAAAATATTCGTTATATTTGGATGTTCTAAGGTGTGATGAAGGCAACCAGTCCAACAACAAAGCAGGAACGCCATTCCGCTGGCAGGATCGCACACAACAACCTTCATCCAATTCATTGTGTGGAAGTTTTTTCAAGGCGGCGCGGGTTTGCAAAGTTTGCAAACAGGTGCAGTTGCTTCGAACCTAGTCCACTTGGTTGCCATGGTGATTCCGGAAGCTAATCCCGTATAGCCGTAATAAAGGAAACGTACTCCCAGAGCTCCAGTGCGAAAGTCGCAACTTTGTAGCACAGCCGTAGTAAAGAAAACGTACTTCCGGGTCCCCCTAATAGGGCTGGATTTGGGCACGGGCGGGAAAATACCTACTTGAGAATTGGTATAGTGTTGGCTATTCTAAAAGTAGTATTCCTGGATTTGAGATTTGCAAAAGTCGGTTCTAGTATTACGAGTAGGTTTAGCATTAGGTAGAAGGGATGATTTTTGTCAGTTGAAACGGCGTATGCACGCACCACTTTTAGTACCAACCAGGACAGGCACTGCACGCTCCGCAAGCGGGTTGTTTATTAGGATAAGTGCTTACGGATTCGCTGAGATTCATCATTCAAAGTGGGCACGCGACGTGGGATTCCAATTCACCTCGAGCAACCCAAAACCGATAGTTCCGTTGTGGAGGGTCCTTTGCACATGGAGTTGTTGTTTTTGTTTTGACAAAGGGGATGCAGTCAGGGTCACAACACCTGTCAGTCAGGCGTCGTGAAATGCGCAAGGAAGGCTGTGAATCGTTGTTCAGAGCATGAGATCGCCGCTTTCTCATCACGCAAAAGGCTCACTCAGAATGGTTGCGATACATATTGCTCTAACCTTGAGTGTGCCTTCGGAACTCTGGACATGCTTACAATTGCGTAAAAGTGCATGCGGCTTTGGGGGGCATGATGCCTCTCTGGTTCCTCTCAGCCCGTCCCCTCCCTGATATCAACTTCGGATTCATGAGGGCCAATCGCATCGCAACTGCTTCCTGCAAAAAAAAAACCGACTCACTTCAGCTCGATTCCTCGCAGAGTATTGATTCAGTGACAGGTTTCATTGCCCTTGGTTTCTGCCCAGGGCTGTGGGACATGACCACTTCTGCGATACAACAAAATGGGCTTCCCAGAGACTCATCCACCATATAAAAGGGAAGATTCTCTAGCTTGTAGCACAGAAGTGGGGATAGGGAAGATTCTCTTGTATCACAGTGGGGATACCCCCCGAGTGATCCCACCCTGTCTCCGCCCCTGCCCGTTTTTTCCGCCTTGGCCAAGAGCCCCAGCTCCGCAGGTTCTGGGAACTGGAAGCCGGACCCGCCGCCGGCGCCGCCGGCGCCGCGGAAGCCCACGAGGAAGAGGCGCTTCCGCTGCTGCGCGGTGAGGCTCCGCGCGTTCACCTGGAAGCGAACGGAATGGAAGTGGTTGGAGCTGACCTGTCGACATTGGAGCTTTGAGAGGTTTTTTTTTTGGATTGGGGGTGGGGGAGTGTTGGATGGAGTTTAGTTTTTTGGGCAAGGCGGGTCTCCTGCAAAATGTGAATGAACCTTCAGGCCGGGCGGGGGGAGGGGGTAAGATGCCTCTTCAGCGGTGACTGGGGCTTGCGTGCAAATGGTGCCATTACGAATAGGTAAAGAGAATCCCAAGCTTATTTACATGTTAAAGGACTGATCTCTGGACGCTTCCATCTGCTGCACCGCGCACAGCCAGCTGTGACGGTGAGCGTGTGCGGCAGAGTCGCGTGTTTCTGGGGGGGGGGGAACAAGGCAGGTTGAGGAGTTGCCGTCGGAACACGGGTCAGGATGTTGAGGGTTGCATGAAGTCGCTACGGCTGGAGAGGGAAAACTTGTCAATCAGCTTGACAGCCACTATACCAAAGATCTAGGTAATCCCCATTTGTTCTTTGGGGGGTAGTTTGGGGAGTAGAGAACACCATCTAAGATATGGAAGACCTTGCAGTGCGTGACATCTGTCAAACGTATGTGAAAACATGAGACATTTTTGCGTTATGACATTGCAAGCTAAGTCACCACGTCGTGGAAGACATGGTAGCCGGCGCCCCGCAATTCTGCAAGGATAGCGCTCATGTCGGCCCTGAGCGCAGCATGGACACCTCTCCCAATCTTCCAATTTGCGCGCATGTGTGCACAATTGCCTATCCCTTGCGAAACTTTGAAAAGCTGTCAAGGGCCTTCGTTTGAAGTCACTAATGGTGCAGCTCGCTCACTAGACAACAAAAGTCCCATTGACGCATTGGCGCCCCGAAACTGACAAGGGACCCCCGGTTGCTGTGCAGCAAGCCTGGCACATTCTCCAGCAGAAAGGCTTCAGGCTGGCATTGCCGCAGCACCCGCACGATCTCACCAAAGAGCTGCCCTGCAAGGCATGGGCGCAACATGACAAGTTGGGCACATCGACAGAAGCCGCCTCCTCAAGCCCTTAACCATATGGCTATGGGTCAAAACCCCGGTACCCTGGTGAACACCCAGAAAGCCTTCTAAAAAGACAACCGTGGAGTGGTAACCATCCCCATTTTGGGCCACCTTCGGTTTTGACCCACAGCCATATCTTTCTCCTTTCCGAGCTTCGGCCTTGTGGCGCCTGGAGGCCCGGCTGGTTGCCCAGAGCTGAGAAAGGCTGGCAGGGGAAGCCGGCCACCAGCAGGTCATGCGCCGGCACCTTGCTGGACCGCAGGTCGCCTCAGCCAGCTGCTCGAGCTGGGGTTTCGCGAGCTTTCAAGGCTGGCCCGCAGGGGATCGAGCCAAAGGCATCCAGCCGGTTGCTGAAAAGACCGTCAGGCAGCCCTCACCAAGAAGTCTGCTGCAATCAATCCGACTAGTTACAAACATGAATCCCAGCGGCGAGCCGAAGGATGCCATTCTTGTACAACAAAAAAACTTGGCAAAGGCATGAGCACACCAGTCCCGGCAACTCAGGAGCTGGATGCGGGTCTGGGTAAAACCACATCTGAGCTGCATCCCACCTAAAGTTGGGGAGCTGTGCTGCCAGCCTGTTGAAGACTCCAGCGCTGGCCTACGAGAAACCACGGCTTGCAGTGTGCCTCGTGTAAGACCTGGCAAAGGCCCATGGGCTTTAGATTTGCCTTTGGGCAGGAACCCGGAGCAAGACACATTGCGTTGGGTTGTGTTTCATGTAAACAAAACAAACAAAGCACTGTATACAAACCCAATGCATGGTTTTTAACACAAACCCAATGGTTTGACATGGACCATTGGACCATCTGCCGAGCCGCCGTGCAGCTCCCCCGCAAAGTTTCGTGAGTACACCTCCCGCGCCGCGCCATGAATCTCGCAGGCGAAGACGCAGCGGCCTGGAGAGTTCGCTCAATCGGTGCACTGCATCAAAGGTGTCAAAAGGCAAAGTTCCCTGTTTTGGATCGTTTTATAGCATGGTTCGCTTTGGAAGCAACTCAACAGAACACGCGCGAGACTGAGAGAGCTCTTCAACAATGGTATTGAGACTCCCCACCCTCTTGGCCGTGCCCAAGCCGACCGCTTGCTGACTATAGTGTCTCATGACGCATCTGAACTGAAGCTGTGTTGCCCCATCTGTTCATCAGTTGGTGGTTGCAACGGGGCGTTCTCAATAATACGGAAATATGTTGCCTCTGCGCAACCAGGTGTGACAGCAACATTCTTAACTCGCTAGAGCAAAAGCAACTTGCTCAAGCATGCTGTGGGACACACGTTGTTTCTCTGCAAATGCCCCTTGTCATGTTTACGTCCATCCTCTCCTGAAACAAACGGCAAAGATTCCAAAGGGACTCCAAGCATGCTGTTCATAGCCGTTGCCTCTACAAGACCCCTCGCAGCGATGGGACAGTCGTCCCGTGCTGCCGGACCTGTTGGCGGACCAACATGACTACTCGAGAAAGAACTCTGTCTTCCAGGTGGCGAAGCCTGTGGCTCCGAGCCCAAAGAGTGACAACAGCGGGGACCACTCCTCACGGATGCGTTCAGCCGCGGTCTCCAACAGGGCCAGCGTTGACTCATCCCCCCAACTTCGCTGACATTCACAAGAAAGGAAGGATGTACAAAACAGCAACTTCCGAGCCCAGGTCTCCCCCCCAAAAAACAAGGAAAAGGCCGGAGTTGGGGATCTCCCGACACACGAACCCATGGCTGACACCACCGTGGCACCTCCTAAAGCCTCCAAGCCCAGCCGGAACCCGCCGATGCCGGCAAACAGCTCCTGAGCCGAAGAGAGGTGTTTTTTGGTTCAAGCCATGAGAGGCTCACTGGTGAATGCTGCCACTTGCGAATCCAGGGCAACTTTGTCCATTTACCACTAAAAAGAACGAACACTGAGGTTAAATGCAAAACGCTGGTGAAGCATGGTTGAAGTGGCTACTACAGCACATCTGTGTCGCCTGCTCGGCTGTGATAAAACAATACCCTGGTTCATGCCAAGAACATGGACTGCGTCAGCAGCGCAAACACAGAACGGGATTACAACAGGCATCTCACTCTATGAGACCGTCTAATACCTGATTCACAAAGCAAAGCTGACTGCTATCAGCTGTATGGGCAACATTACTTATCACCAATGAAACGCCACATCCACCCCAAAAGGCCCATATCGGTAGGGTGAGTACTCGAAGCTTGCGCTTCATCAACGGCAAAAACAACAGCTCGGCTGCTTCCCGCACTGGTGAAGCCCCCCACCAAGCGAATGCGAAAGTCGGGTCACTGCAAAGGTGAAGTCGGCGGCAGGGGGCAGCAGATCTACGTCTTCCTCCCGCGCGCAGGTTGTCTCCGTCTCCATGTCCGGCACTTCTTCCAAGGTGACATCCTGGCGCACACCGCCGCTTGGGGGTCTCCCCACATCAGGAGCTCCCTTTTGGGGTGGAAATTCATGCGAAAAGCAAGGAAGCCTGCTATAATGGTAGCCAGCCGGCCTGAAGAGCACAAGTAACGAGATCCATAGAGGAGCAGCACTGAACCAAAGCAAACGCAAAGCTTCTGCCGACAGGGCAAATGCAACAAGCGGAGGTTGACAACAAGCTTGCTGGCTGGCGAATTCGCTCTGAAACAATCATGCTGCTGTGAATCGCATTCTGCCAATGAAAGTAGCACGTCGTGCTTCCACTTGAGCAAAAACTCCGGGTTCAAACAGTAAATGCTCACTCATCCATGCCAACTGCAAACTGCAAGACAGGCCATTCTAGCATCTGAACGTGGCACAACAACCGCAACGGAGGAATCATAACAGCGCACATGGAAAAAAAATACCCGCCCAGCCACACAGACACACAGACACACAGACACACAGACACACAAACACACAGACACACAGAGACACAAACACGCAGAGACACAGAGACACAAAGACACAGACAGCGGAGGGTTCAGGAACAAGTCATCAGCCACATCAAGACAGCGTGAAATAAGCCAATACACATATACGTCTCTATATAAATATATACATTGGCTGGGTTCCATCCGAAGCGATCGAAACTCCCTTCTGCCCTGACAAGCGGTGTGGGGGGGCATCTTTTAAATGATCTTGACACAGAGTCTGTCACACTGACCTCCTTGAAGCCTTGAAGAACCTTAAATGCGCCAGCTTGGCCCGACCTCTGGAAGCTGTAAATACTGCAACGATTCTGACAATTCTTGAGATGCAGCACCCTCATTTAGGGTCTTGCTGTTGGAGGAGGGCGCTTTCAGGGCGAGTTCCCTTTTGTCGTCACGATATTGCCCCACTCACGTTGAATTCGGCCGGGTGGTTTGCCTCATGAACCTCACAGGCCGCGCGGCCGCGCCTGCGACAGAAGCCGCATCACCTCTGGCGTGAGGAACTCGCTTGTGACGCTTTGCCTTGTGGCACAGGAGCGGCCCCGCGCGTCTGTTCTATAGAACCCTGCGGCCGATTTGCTGGATTCCATCTGTGTGAGATGTGGGTCCACGCTTTCAACATGCATGGATTCGAGCCCAGATTGGAAAATCGGTTTTCAATTGCCGCATGCAATTCAAGCAAGCGCAGGTTGATTGAAGCATGTTTTCCAAGGATCACCAATTTGGAGTTCAATAGAGGCCGTTGTATGGCCTTGTGGTCCTGGATTCCGTCAGTTTCCAACCGTCAAACGCAATCCGACAACCACTTCTTCCCAAGCCGGAGGCGTCTGGGAAGGGTGGGATACGTAGCATGCACTTGGATGGCAAACTCCTCCATGAGCCTCCACGCTCTATGCAGGACTAGGCTGTCGGCGGATCTGATCAACGCCACCAGCATCCCCGTTCCCAGAAGATCCATTGCAGTGAGTTTTACGTCGTGTGCAGCAAATGCCCGCACAAGGTGAAAGGGTTTTCGGCCACCTTCTTCTGCTCAAGTTCAACCTCGCTAGCATCGCTATGGCCTTAGTCAAGGAAACAGTCTTTCGCTAGATGTTGTGCTGGGTAATCTGTTCGACACCTGTTTCCCAAACAGGCCCCCATGCGGTTGCACCGGTACTCTGGCACTCTAAAAATGCGGGGCTGGAATTATATAAGCCAAGTTGTGAGGGCTTATTGTCCATAATAATGTACTACAGAATCCAACAGTGGTATCGAGGCTCGCTTGAGAAAAATGAGCAGTGTTTGGCAGGGCGTAAGGAAGCACTGGGCGGACGCCCTTAACACTGCAAGCGCCAACGTAGCATTGCCCACGGTCCACAGTTCCAGTTTTGTTTGTCTTAGCTTCGCATAGGCTTTCCGGCAGAATCCCTGGTTGATTAACAGAAAGGCACAAACCAATCTGACGCGAGCCACAGTTCCCAAACGCTGACGGTGATTCTGAGTTTCACCACGCATTGCGCATCGTGTATCGCCAAAAGCGTTGAGGACTGACGCTCGTGTTCATTAAGTCCAAACCCGCAAGCCGCGCCAGAGGTTGTCCAAAGCTTCACTATCTTCGACAGCTGCCCATATCGCGCATGTGCGTAGATATATCAGCCGACGTCTTTGCCAAAGACCTGCCATTCTCTGACAAAGGGCAGGCGTGTTCTTAGTGGTCACACAGCATCAGCATCAGCGGCTTCGTGTCACTCACTCCATCGACGCCCTCAGCATCAGCTCGCGCCGCGCACGCACGGGCGCGCCGCATCAAGCAGCGAATGGGGTCTCGATGACGCGCGCTCGTGGTCCAACATCCTGAAACCTATCCCCTGAGGGGTGGGCGGCGTGCATGAGTCAGGCTCTGCAATCAATGTATGTCTGTATGCATATATGTATTAATAGTTGTGGATGGCTTGATAAATGTACAATCAAGCTCGGAAACGATGGGTGTTTACCATTGTCCATGGCAACAAAATCGTCGCACATCACCTATTGGAGGTTGCCGGACCATGGCCAATGAACATGATAGCGTGTGGACAGCCTCCACACCATCCGCAATCACTTCGGCATGCATCAACCACACCCATCATGTATACCTAAGTTCACAGACCGACCAACACACCCAGGCAAAGCCCGCATCTCACAAAATAGACCTGGTCGAGGATCCTTAAGCAATGCCCAACCACGGCAATCCACATACCCGTCCAACACCACAACAAACATGAAGCAACCATCCGGCAATCGAGCACAACCAGCCGACACTTGCCGGTACTTCAACTTTCTCAGGAATGACTCGCGATCCACTTCAACTCTTCAAACCGAAGACCTTGGGCCATAGCCCCCCACTGCCACTTCCGCCGAGCCACCCCTGGAAGGAGGCCGACACCGCCGCTGCCGCCTCGGCCGACAGCACCAGGCGGCGCCGACCTTCGACCACCTGCACGGCGCCAAAGCGGCCGTCCAGGTGCCAGCGCCGCGGCAACGCGCGCACGGCGCTCAACGCACTGAAGAGCTGATGGGTGAGCTGTGGGCAGCACCTAGAAACCAACCCACGGAGAAACAACTGCAACATAGGTAAAATATGATTGGACAGCTTGCAAGACTTGCCCACAGGAACCGGAATCAGCCGAAACCAACAACTGGTCGATTGTCCTGTAATGGTCTAACAAAATAGTGCCAGGTACCTTAGAATGGACTTGAATAACATGTACAGCCCATTGACATATCTTGAGCAATTACAAACCTGGCAAGCTGCGGCCACACTAACCACCGTGCTCATCAGCCACTGAAGGCAGCGAACTCTCCCACCGGCCCCATGCTTCTGCCAGAGAACCTGCAATACACATCTACCAACCTACGGAAGGACAAACTGAAAGTTGCCAAGTGCCAATCGCTCAGTGATTGGCAGCGACAGTCGTCGAAAAAACAGTTCAAGCCCCAAGAGCAATCCGCACGCGCTCCGAACACAGAGGGCAACACGAGGATCCCAGTGTCTTCCTGGGCTGTTCACATCGTTTGGATCCACCAATCCGAAATGCGTAGCGCAACAACGCTACGTACAACAATGGAACCACAATCTAGCATAAGAATGAAGGATTGACATTGAACAGCGCATTGACTCCCAGCGCCGCGTATTGGGCCAGGGCACTGCAACGCCAATCGGCTGGACTTTGCGCGCGACTGGGTCGGGCGTATGAGAAGGCTTTCCCTCGGGTGGGAAGTGTGTCTCGATGGATGTTACTCCATCACCGTTGGGCAATCTGATCAATGGCTAGTGGTCAAAGAAACTAGCAAACAGCTCAATCCAAATGGGAGTAGCCCCAGGAACCAACAAATCTGCCATAGTTTGCCTTATTTCATCATGCACAAGCTGTGCACGTCACAGTTTGGAACCCGTTCACCTCCTGCGTCTCAGCCTCTTCGCCCCAACAAACGACTGCAACCAACTTCATCGAACATGAGTCAACACGAGGCAACCATCACGAAACACCCTGTTTGAAAGGGGGCTAACAAACGATGCCAGAGTGTTCCTGAGCCCCAACTCGAGGCCCACCAGCTGGCCAAACGGCAGTTGCAACGCCCTTCACTGATTCATATGTAAATGGAGCCAACACCTGGTCGCCAACTCACACACGATACAAATGGTATGCATGCACTGCACCTGCCGTAAGTAAGATCACTTCCTATGCCGTGCCTACTAAGGTCTACGTCTGGCAAGAAAATGCCGTCACCTTTGTGTTGCTGCCCCCAAAGCTGATCAAGACGACAAAGGGGACACACTTCTTGGACACTTTGAGAGCCCTTTTCCATTGAGGCAGGGTACAAGCCTCCGCCAATGCCATATGGGCGTAGCTTGTTGTGCAAACGATGCATCAAGGTGCTCTCATCGCACGTCCCAGTGGTTGGCCGCTTGGCCCAAGCATGGATTGAAGCCTCAACTATGCGTTGCCCGCTCAATCATGAAAAGCTGGAAGGTTTTACCCACAGATTTTGCGAGCAGCCGTAATCAGAACGATCGGGCGCTTCTCAACATACACAAACGCTTGTCGGCCAAGAAACACTCTGACAACAAGCCTTTTGCAACTACTTCCGGTCTCAAAATGTGCTTTTGAACATGGCGTTCTCTTTAAGATAAGGGAGACCCTTCTGCAGCTTTGTTCGCGCTTGAGCAGAAAGCTATCCCAACAGATGCAACGAACATCTGACCAACTAAACAAAGAAGAGCATCCAACCGTCCAGGATGCTCCCAAATCGCCAGCTTTGCAAGCTGATCTATCCTGCATGAAAACCTGACAGTGCACACTCACTTGTCCAAGAACAAGCAACTGGCCATGGGTCAAAATCCCGTACCCCCAGTGAACATCCCAATCCCCACTACAATAGACTAAAATGGGTGGTGCACCTGTCCCAAAATGGTACCATTAGTTTTGACCCACAGCCAACTGGCTCCTCGGCCAACGGGCCAAAAAACTGCCGCGCCATGTGCCGCCACTTGTTTTCGTTGCTGGCCGTGTGCAGCGCCACAGCGCGAACAGTCTGCCTGACAGCCAAGCCCAAGCGATGAAGGATGGTGGCACCGAAATGGGCCGGCGGGCAAACAGCGCCAAACCTGGGCAGGCGCAAGGTAGGCGGAATGGAGAATGCTACTTGAGCTTGCAATGGTTCAACGGATTGTCCAGCTCGGTGCCGTTGCTGCTTCTGCTGCTGCTTCTGCTGTTCCTGTGGCTGATGCTGCTATTGCTGCTAGTATTTCTTTGTTCTTCTTGTTTTGTTTGTTCTGCTGCGCTTGGTCGACTTGCTCTTTTTGTTAAGGTTGTTGTTGTTTTCTGGTTGCTCTTGTTGCGCGTGTTGTCCTTGTGATTCATGTTTATTAGGTCATGCGCTATACTGATACTTAGCCTTCTCACATGAGTTGCAAGTCCAAATGACCAGGGCCATCTGCAAAGACATATGAATGCAATCATCCTGTTCCTGACAACCCTTTCAGGTCAGTTCAATTGAGGGCGCGGAAGGTCAAGAACATTAAGAAACACATACGCACAGTAACAGACACATACCAGTAGCATGCAAGTTCATGCCGAGCAAACATGATGTATCACGGTCATTTATGTCGGTGACGTCGGGTGGATTCATAGTTTTCACTCAGGACCGCAAAGCCGGTTGGTTTCCTTGTCCCTAACAACGCCAAAGTGGTCATGCGGCCAACGTTGGACTGCCGGGAGGCACTACTGAATTGACGTGAACCGACTGCATCGCCAACAGTATCAAAAACTCTGAAACTGCGAGCAGCAAGCACACCAGGACTCAGGGGAGTCGCATAGCCTTGAAGGCTCTTGCACTCCATTGGCAGTGGGGGAGATCTTCCAAGTCATCGCAAGTCTGCGTTCCGTGCTGAGCCCATCAAGGCCAGGGAGTCTCCAATGGGCTGGGGGGAACAACATGATCAACAAATAGGCTGAGGGTCGAAACATCGAAACCACGCACCTCACCCGGCTAAAGCTAGTTGGCTGGGAATGCCACACAAGTCTTCACAAATAGCGCCATAGGATACCATAGGTCACCCAATAGCGCGGACACAACTTCCCCGCTCTCAACAGCTCCGAAAGCTGAGGCTGAAACCTAAGGTAGCCTTGCGGCCTGCAATGCGGGAAAGGCCGGACTTGCAGATTGTGGCAGGGGCACACGCACTCACGCTCATGCAGTCACACGTGGCTCTACTTGCATGGCATTTGGTCGCGTAAATGTGTTTGCACCTTGACGTGTGACCTACTACGGCAAGAAAACAGAGTAGTTGGATGCACCTGGTTTTTAATGTACAGTAGAGATCCTTTGGCGCGACCTACCACGGGCAAAAACATATTTCTGAAGGTGGTGGCTTCCTGACATCAAAGCAAGCATCCAGAAGCGAAACTTGGAACAAACAAAAAAACATCACAAACAATGAGGTAGGGCCTGAAGGGTCCCTCAACCAAGCCAAACATGTAGTGAAACTCGATTTAACCCCATTCAACATGTCACGTCCCAATCCTTTTCGTCAAACAAGCGGCCCGAGAAAGGTGTTTCCGAACAGGCCTGGAAGATTTCAGCTGGAACGTGTCGGAGCATGACTTGGACGCGATTCCCACCTAAGAGCGGGCAGAGATGGTCAGAGATGGTCCAAGGCTTCCCAAACCACAAATTTCTGATTTCCATGTATCCCTCTCTCCCTCGCTCTTCTGCGTTGCCGTCTGCTGCGCCTGTCCCTTTCTCTGTCTGTCTACCTGTCTGTCTATCCCTCCATCCGTCTGCATCTGTCTCCATTCATATATCTATGTAACTATCCTTGATCTGTCTGTATCAAAACATGATGTGTCGGTATTTATCTGTCTAGCTGGCTAGATCTAATTATCGCTGGACGAAATCCTCTTAGGCACCGTTCAGAAACCCTAGAATGATATGATCCCCTGTAAATACCAAAATGGTTTCCCATGATGCCTTAGGTGGTGCAGGATTTTGTCCATCCACAACCTCTATATGCTCACGCGGCTGTACAGTGCCTTTGAAAAGGGTGATGATTGGCCACGCATCTGGACTCTCGCCAGGACCATGTGCCTAAACAAGGGTGACGCGCCGCAATCACCCCTTGATATTAGGCCCATTACTGTCCTTAGTCGGGTCTATCGCCTTTGGGCCAAAATCAGAAGTGAACAGGTCACAGCCCAGCTCATCAAGGTCATCCCCACCCCCATAGCGGGGCCCGCTAAAGGAGTGGGTGCTGACTTGATTGCAATGTGGACCGCCGAGCAGGTTGAGCAAGCCCTCCTCCTCGAGCAACCCATATGCGGTGCAGTCCTTGATTTAGTCAAATGTTATAACACGATACCCAGAGGTCCTCTCCTCAGACTGCTCAAAAAGATGGGGGTACCCGACAAATGCTTCCGCGCTTTCGGCAGCATGATGAAATGCATGAGACGAACTTTCGAGATCAACCGCACTTGCGGCCCCATTTCCGGCTCCACCACTGGCGTGGTTGAAGGTTGTGCTTTTGCCGATACCTGTACGCTCGCCATCGCCCATTGGGTTGGTTGCGTCCTCCAAGCCAATTCACCTGCCTGTGATGTTGCGTGCTATGCCGACAACTGGGCCTTGATCTCAGACTCTTCAGGAGAGCTCCGTGCCGGCCTTGACCATGTTGTCAAACTTGTTCACTCCCTCCGCATGCAAATCTCCCCACCCAAAAGCTGGCTTTGGGCGACTTCCGCCAAACTCCGGTGTGAACTCAAGGGCACTTACATCGACGAGGGTGAGGTACCCATCAAACTTCATGCCAAAGACCTTGGAGTTCACATGTCATATTCAAAACGAGTTCATAAGGCCACCTTTAAGAAAAGGATCAAGGCCGCTAGGGTTAAGTTGGATAAAGTTCGTAGGGCCCCTATCCCACACAAATTCCGTGCCACCATGGCGCAGACCGCTGGCATAGCCAAGGCTACCTATGGCATTTGTGCCCACAGCGTCACCGAGAGTGAACTTCACTCTATCCGAACCGCCACTGCGGCAGCCCTCAAAAAAAAGGGGCCTGGCACCAACTCCTGGCTTGCCCTCAACACCCAAAACATTGGGCTTGACCCACAGTGGAAAGATGTGATCATTCGCCTTAGGTCCTTTCGGCAGTACACCCTTCCCTGAGCGAACCGACCACGTCCTCTCCACACTCCTTTCCAACACCAGTGGGAAGATTAAAGGACCGGTTTGGAGCCTTGCGACTGCCCTGAAACGCTTCGGGTGGAGGTTTGCTGAGGACCCTAGGATCCTGGTCCACCCTGACTCCAACCTCACCATCGAATGGCTGGACTGCACCATCAAAACTCTCAGGCAGCAGCTTTATCCGGCTTGGGTCCAATATGCCACTCGAAAATGCTGCACGCGTAAGGACTCCCAGCTTTGTGCTTTTGATCCTTATGCCGCGGTAGCGGTTATGAAGCGTGTGAGCCCCAGAGAGCAAAGCCTCATTGGCACCATCATGAACGGCAAATTCTTCACCCACGAGTTTCAGGCCAAGTATAATAAACCTACCGACATTTCCTGCCCATTGTGCGGTGAGCCTGACAGCAAGTTCCACCGCATAATGCGTTGCCCTGCGGTAGATCACATCCGCGCCAACCACACCAGCACCATTCGGGCAGTGAAGAAGTGGCCCCTTGCCTGCCAAACCTTTGCACTGTGCCCGGCAGACCCTGATGCCCATACCCTGCGTGCACCTTTATGTAGAACTTTGCCCTATTGTGAAACCCCTGCACCCAACTCTTGCTCCACCCACCTGTTTGTTGATGGGTCGGCTTTCTTTCAGGAGGACCATTCATATACCCTCGCAGCTGGTGCTGTGGTTCAGCTCGAGCCAGACTGGCCATCGGGTAGGGTTGTGTCCTGTGATCTGGTGCCCGGTTTGGAGCAGAATAGTTTTCGCGCCGAGCTGTTTGCTATTTTGTTGGCACTCCAACATACTTGGTCTGCACACCTTTACTGCGATTGTAGCGCAGTTGTCTCCGTGGTGAAGGGAAAAAGGCCAAGCTGCGCATTGACCCTATCCTGTCCCAAATCGATGCCCAAATTTCTGCACGGCCAATTGGCTGCATCACCATTACCAAAGTTGCAGCCCACCAAGACATCAACTCCTTACTGTGCCCCCGGGAAAGATGGTTAGCCAAAGGGAATGACCTGGCTGATCAGGCTGCCAAGCACTGCGCTCAACATCAGCATAGGCCCTTGTTCCTTGCACACCAACGTGCGGCCACCAAGCATGCAGCTACCAGGCAAGTGTACAACGATTTCATTGCCTACCTGGGCAAAATTGCCCTTGTTGCTGTCAAAGATAGCAAGCCAGCTACCAAATCCAAGAGAGAATTTGAGGTGAACAACCTTCCCTCCCTCTCCGACCTTGTTGCTGCGCACCCGTACATTCATCTCCCTATTGACCTGTCCAGGGAGAAAATCCTATCCTCCAATTTTGGTGCAATCTTTCTTTGGAGGGTCCTCGCTTGGAGGAACAGCCTCGCGTGGCCTGACCCACCACGCTGTGCTGGCGAAGACATCAGTTTCCTCGAACTCTATGTCGACTTCATTCTCTTCTCCGGATCCCGCATGCCGGTTAATCTCATACCTGCCTCGGCCACCTCCAGGGACCCGGGAAGGTGGGAGCTCCGTGACCTCTCCGTTGAGGCCGACTCTTGTGATGACCGTAGCCTTGCCACGCAAAGTTACAATTGGACACGTTTCTTAAGCCAGACTCAGAAACGCCTTAACTTCAATATGTGGCCTTGTGGCACTGGCACCGCCTCATGGTCCCTACATAAAATTGGGCACTCCACACCAAGACCCGGCCTCTTGCAGAGACCGGCACTCACCTCTGGATTGGAGGCTGCCTCGGTCCTGCGCCGGTACTTCATCCGACCCGATGGGGTTACCCGTAGCTTGAGGTCCCCCCTGGACCTCGTGGTAGCCAAACCCGGGGCTCACCCGGCTTGGCTTGATGGTAATTCGCCGTGAGGCCTTTTTTATTTCTTTTCCGCTCACCGTGCGCCCTCTGTTGCTCGGTCACACGATCATGTCCGGTGCCGTGCAACGCTGGATCCACCTGTGATCTATGCACTAAGAGCAAAGCGCAAAATCCACAGTATTGTTTGACACTACAAAAGTAGAAAGAGTTGAAGTGTCCAAACCGCTCTTTGCTGCTTTAATTTGTTTCCCCATTGCCTTTGTCCAAGCTGCTCCAAAAAAGGGCAACCAAGCCCAAAAAGTAAGTCCAGGAACTCACGCGAGTTGGAGGTTGTTGGGCTTGAGCTGAAGCCATCCTTTCCGGGTCCGTCCCGCAGTTAAAACAAAGAAACAAGAAAAAACTGCCGCGAAGAGGGCAACTCCAAACGGACATGGACGGGTCGTTTTGGGTTCAGGGAATGTTGAGACAAACCCTGACCCCATTTGTGACAAACCCAGATTGGCGGGGTGTCAATTCGGAAAATAATAATAGTAAAACGAAGACATTCCTTGTTTTTCGAACTGAAGCCATCCAAAAAGGGATAGTCGGGCAAAATCAGCTGAAAGCAATCCAAAGTAATCCAAGGCAATGGTTGTAAGACCGAAGCTCAAGCTCCCGCGTGGATTTGCGAGGCCGCGGCCCGATCCTGGCTGAGCAGCTTCCGGGGTGGCGTAAAAAATCTGAGTTGGCACCCAGGTGCAGAGGAAAACCGCCCAAAAAGCTATGGCTATGTGCTGCTCTCTTGTGGGGTGTACCCCTCTTTTTTGGAGTTGATGCTCCAAAAACGTTGACATGGGTTCGTGTTGGAATGTTTTTGGGGGTGCACCCTTTTTGGAGCTTTTTTACTGTGAAGGGAAACCAAAAGGACCGGGGTCCCCCTATCCCCATCTTGACACATATCCACTTGGATCTCGGATCCAGCTGCCTCCTCGGAAGGTGTGACACCGTGACCCCCGCAAAACCCTGGAAACACGGGGTGGGGGACGGGGAAGTAGTTGGGGAGGCTTTGAATGCCCCCTGACTTTTGCGATGTGGGCTTTTGGGGATGTCTTCTACCCTGGGGCAGAGTTCCTAAACCCATCCCAAAATGACCCCTTTTGAGGTGTTGCGTTAATCACCAAACACGGATATGTATGGCACCCCTGAAAGGGTGCAGCCTTTGGGTACATGACAAATTCCCTGAAGAAACCAAGAGTAGCGACTGCGCTCCTGTGCCACACGTACCTCAGCGCGAGCACACCGAAAGGGGCGCAAGCACACCGAAAGGGGCAAAATCAACCAGCGGTGCTGCTTAATCCCGGGTGCCCAACAATGCCGGAAACCATGGGTGGAGGTCTTCGTCTGGGTGTGTCTCTACATGGACGACTAAGCCACAAATGGATCAAAATGGACCTTTGACATGAGAGTCCCTTCAAAACCCCAACCAAGGGTACCGGAAAAGCAACAAACATCACAAACGCCTGCATGGGCAGGCGCCGCCACCACACCCAACTGAGGCCCCCGCAACATCAGGACATCCACCACCACCAGTGCCACCAGGACGTACAGCGCGATATCACCCACCTCCCTCCACCTGAGCTGCGCTAGCTGGGCTTTGCCCATCGATCAAAAGGACCGGACGACTTGGGGCAAACCCTTGAGTAAGGAAATGACCAGTTTTGCCGGGAATCCGCTGACGAAGGTTCTGCGGATCAATTGTAAGTTTGCATTGGTTGGGCAGCCTGTTGAATGGCTTCTAACAAATGGGCTCTCTTTGGATGCTCAAATGATTTTCGTCCTTCTGGTGCAAGCCATCAGAACTAGGAAAAACAAAATGAGCAGCCCCCCAAAATTCCTTGACTTTTGGCTCTGCCAACATGGTTCTGAACTCTGTTGGCCTTACTGCCACCCATAGGAACCGAACCACTTGCTAAAATGGCCCTGTGGGAAAATCGGTCTTGGGCGCACGAATGCACCGATCGTCGAAATCAGCGCCGATCAATATCAGTAGGATGCGGGCGAGATGAAGTTGTTGGAGAAGAGCGCCGCGATCTGAAACCTGAAATTGGCTCGTGCAAGGGCGGAAAGTGTCCAGGTCGATTTTGCCACTATCTTCCTTGAAGGCATTGATTTAGGGTTCTTGGCTACCAACTGGACATTTGTGTCCATGGCGCGCATCCCAATTGGCTCTCGGGCTGCTTCCCAGCAGATGAGGCCACCCCGAACTGACGCAGCCACTCACAGTTTCCTTCAGTGGGTCCAAAACCCCGGAAACCATTTGGTACCAAACCCACGGTAGAGAAAAGAGTTTGGTCTTGCTTCAAACTGCAGGCCCAGGGCGGCGGGAAAATTATCCCGTGAGTTGGTACCCTTGGAATAATATGGGAAGTGGGTTTTCTAACTTGGGGTTCCTATGAGATAACCCAGCAAAAGCGAAGTGATGGAACGCTGTTGCGGCGGGTCGGTCCAGGTGCCAAAGGCAACAAACTCGGCAAGTGGCCCTTTTGAGTCGAAGGCTCTTTCTCTTTGGGGCATATTGAAATCGGAAGCCAAGCCAAGCCCATGTTGGAGGGGGGTCACGGGAAAGCTGCCTTTGTGTCAACCCTGTTTCTTCAAGCCCGTTCCGGGGTTTACCCCAAAGGGAAGCCACATCCTTGCAGAAGCGCTCGCACAGCGTCACCCGCTGTTCGCAGCGCGAAAAAACGTGCAAGTGACACGAGCGACAGAAGCGGGTGTCTGTTTTTTTTTGTCTAGGGGTCCAACAAAATAGTAGCGGTACGCCCAAAAACACTCAAGTAAGCCAAGGAGCTCAATGTACAAGCGGTTCGGGATGTTGAATCTAATCCTTGGAAAGCTGAAAGTTCGCACACGTATTCATTTCTGGCTCACGACAGCCAGTGGATTGATTCGCATTGAAACTCCAGTGGCTTGCAATCAGACTTTGAATGCCTGAATCAAATGTTTTTTTGCACTAAGAATGATGCTCTGCCAAACAATAACTATTTCTGCAAAGTCACCAAAAAGCAGCCTGCCTCTGCAAAGCCCCAAAAAGCAACTGTCTACTTCAAGCCAAGACCCACATCCTCTGCAATGAAAACAACCAACGCCCTCAGCTGAAGCGCTGAACCGGCAAAGTTCTTCCAAGCATCGGATGGCTCACTGGTCGCAAGTCCATGCAGCACAGCGCGCTCACCACCTGCTCCAATGTTAGAGGCCAGGGACCTAAGAGGCTGAAAGGGAAACCCAAAACCAAACCGAAGCCCAAAACGGGGTGTTCAAATCCCTAGTTTGACGAGCCATACCTATGCACACTCCAAACATCGTATTGAAGCCCCTGTGCGGAGTTCCGACTCATGTTTTTTGACACAAAGCCAGCTGACTGCACCGTGACATCTCCACTCAGCGCCCTTTGAAACAGCTCCGAAGCGGGGAACCGTCCTCTTACATTATCCACCTGAACATCCCCGCCCAAAAAATTGACTGGTATATGCCAGGCTGCGATGAGCATGTCCGAGTTCACCGCCAGGATAGCATTGCCTGGGCGCAACTTTTTGACATCTCAAAATACCGGTCCCTGAACTTGATTCCACCACTAAAAACAAAAAACAAAAAAAAAACACTTCATATGGAGGCATCTCAAAAGCTGCCCCCCAACCCGCCGCAAGTATACATGGGATAGCTTGGTGTGCTTTTTGAACAGCCATGAATTTAGATTGTAGATGGTTGGAACACCCGCCCCCATAGCTGGCTGCATACTGCTTGTAATGGTTTCCCCTTTCAATCCATCAAAGGTGTTGATCTGGCTGCGGGTCAAAACCAATGGAATCCCATTTTGGTTGGTATTGGTGAATTCACCACCCATTTTAGGCTTCCTATTGTAGTGGTTGGATTGGGATGGGGGCTCACCGGGGTTTTGACCCATTTGACCCATGGCCAGCTGGTTTCGACGTCGACCCCGGTCGGTGGCGGGATGCCCATCGCAGGTCATCAAGCGCCCTGCGGGAGGGCTCGGGGTGCCTTCTTCGGCCCTCGGGGGGGGCTTTACCCCCCCCCCCCAAAAAAAGGACCGTGCACGGAGCTTTTTGTATATTTGAATGTGAAATACATGCTTTTGACATAGATCGTGTAGAATATATATATCTATATATATATATACACCCATTCTCAGATACACCCTGAGCGAGCAACAAACAGGCCAACCGCCTGCGAGATTCCTCGAGCTTGGGGCAACTCAACCAGAATTCGGCTCCCCTTCTCCTCCTCCCACCAACCAAAACGCGCCACCAAAACCCGCAGTGGCTCGTTGCGAATATCGAAGGCCACCACCAGGCTGTTGTCCCTCAAGTTGCCAGCTCCAACGACGATCGAAAGAAAAAAAGAAAAGAGAGTCTGGGATACCCATGAAAACCGGGTATAACAAGTAAACTCATACCATGAAAACCTTTAAAACTAGTAAACCCTTGGGAGAATGTAAAACCGTTAGATTGGATTCCACCCATGGAAACCAATGCCGACTGAGGTTCAGACCATCCCATTTGGGGTTGCAAGAAGTTACGCCATGGGGGTTGAACCCTGGAGGCCTTGTCCCCATGAACATGAGAAGATCGATTTTGGTCGAGCCCCGGGGCCCTTGGATTTGTGTTCTGGTTGAACCCCTCGAGTCTTAGGCCATCTCGACCCTCAGAAAGCCGTCCATCCAAAATCTTTGCCAAACGCCGTCATTTCAGGGTCCAGCTGTGCATCTTGGCCGTGCTGACAAAAAAAAAAAAAAAACCTAGCCAGGCGACGGGCCTTTACGGCTGACTTGGGACCATTGGAGTCACATTTTAAAGCTTCGAACAATCGTGAGACTCGGACAGGAAGGTGTTGGAAGGCTACTTTCCTTTTGAGTCACTTCCATGATTGTTGGAAAACGGGTACCCTTTGAAAGCTGGTGAAACATGAGTTTCCTTCAAGAGTCGATTACAAACCTGAGATGCAAAACCCGGATTGAGTAGTCAACCCCTGGTTTTGTAGCGGGTGTCCCGTTTTGTTGGCTCGAACGGTGAACCCCCAGTCAGCCGCCCAGTTGATTAATCCAGGGTCGACAAACGGTGTGCGTCCCAAAACGGGACCCTCCCGAAAAATCAACCTGGGTTCTGCTTGATCAAACTGAGTTCCGATTCCCCATCAGGTCCTGAAAGTAATTTTGCAAACCGACCACTTCTCCATGCCCTGTGGACCGACATGGGTCTCCTCAAATACCCGAGCGACGCCCGCTCCCAAAAAGAAATGTGGAGAGCCCCTCAAGCTACCAAACCATTTTCAGGGCAACGAGCCAAAAAACACCAACAACTGCTACTTTGGCGACCCAAACATGGGATCCCGTCAACTTGCAACCATATTTTGCAAGAACCCGGTTGCTGCATCTTGAAATCAATCAAGGGATGGAGTGGGAGTATTCCCTCATTCCGCAATAGGGGACGCCCCAAAATGGATGGGGGGTTTATTTGGTGTCCCTTTAAAACCACACAAAATGCGGCACCAACTGAAAAAAAACAAAAAAAAACAAAAAACATCTATCGCAAGATGAATCCTGGGCACCGGAAGAGCTTGGTCATCTCCACCATGCTCCGGAGCCACATGTCCTCCGGCCACTGCTCCGTGTACCAGCCTTCGTCCTGCTTGACGTTGCACCAACCTGTCCAGGGGCATGTGGGGGGCTTCTCAAAAAATGATTCCGACCCCTTTCGGAAGGACTTTAAAAAGAACCAAAAGGAAACCACCTACCTGGAGGGATCTACAACTTGAGCAACACCCATGCGGGCGTCACGAAGAGGGGGAACCCCCCAAGATGGCGCAAAACGGGTTTCCTTCAACCCACACAAAGAAGAGGTACCCTCAAACAAGGACACACGCATATGGGCATGTCCCACAGAGCTACATGGATTCCGCCAACCTCAGCATCCGCAAATTCCAAATCCCTGAGCCTACCTATCCATCCCATCCATCTGCAAACATCTAACAAAAATCACATGTTACCGCGCGATACTGTTTCTGCGTGAAACAACAAAGATCGGCCAAAGCGAGGCTCAACTCTCCACCAGGCTCTCCGCGTGTCACAGACCAAGGCTTAGTGCTGCAGAAAGTCCTGGTTGTCCTCAGGCCACGAACCGCACGAAAACCATCTGACTTTCTGGCTAAACCCGGGGTGCGGGTTCTTCTGGATCCAACCTGCCAAAAGCTTGCCCCAATCACCTCCGGGCTTAGTTAGGAGGGACTCCACTAGCTGCACCATCGCCTTGGCACCCTCAGCGTCCCGAGCGGATTTGGAGAACATGAAGATTGGCTCAGTGTTGCGGAGAGCGTACCCTTCCCGGGTGAGGAGAAAGTCGAGCACCAAGCGTGCCAGGCGACTGCTGCAATCCTCAAAAGGATGGAAGAAACACACATCCAGATAGGCGCGACAAGCTCTGAGTGCCAGCGGCTCATCGCTATTGGCCTCCTCCAGAAGTTCTTGAAACTTTGACTCGGTATTTGTATCCAGGGGATAGCGTTCTCGCCCTTGCTTGGCATAGGCATCATGCCGGCGGAAGGACACCTTCTTGAATCCGTTGTGCAAGAGGAAGCTTTGCCACCGGCTCAAGTGTGAGAACTTCAATGGCACACCTGTCATTGCTGCCTTTCGACAGTCGTCCAGCGCATAGCGAAGGTCGGCGGCCCGTTTGCTGTCCCTGGCAGCATCCACAGAATCGATGAAGCGCAGGTGGCTGTCCTCATTGGTAGTGCCCTCAACACAGGAGGTCAGGGCAACCATGGCTGCGCGCGACCGGAGCCAATCGCTGGTGGAATCCACCTGGTTGTATGCCGGAGCGACCTTTCGCACCACTGCTAGGGCTGTATCTGGTGGACATTGGTAACTGTTGAAGCCCCTGATCGCATTGGCAACAGTGTCCAAGAGGTTCAGGTGCGACTCTGCGAGGCCTGTGGAACTTAAGTACCAGCAAACCAGATCTGCGAAAGGCTTATACCACATCTCAAACCCCACGTGCCAGGAGACGTTGTTGTAAAAGGCTGGACAGTGACGCAGGAGTTGAGCAATGGCTGTCTCCAAGTGCTCGGAAAGTTCATAGCCAGAACATCTGGAACGTAACTGAGCAAATTCATCTTCCAACTCCAAAATAATCTTCTGCCACCTCTTCACATCGGTGATGATCAGCTCTACACTAGCCGCCATGTCGGTGTAGGGTGGCCGAACGTACCAATAGCCATAGGAGCACGCGCTAGAGCCAAAGGTCCAATAGTCAGCCCATGGACCACAACACTTCCGGACCACCTCTTGCAGAGCCTTGAAGGTGAGGGTTTGCCAATCATCCAGTGCCTGTCGCCGTTCGACGGGGTCGCCGTCATAGTCACCGGGCCAGGCGGCTTCCAATTCCCGCCTCAAGTTGCCTTCATCAAACCCAGCCAGGGCACCAAAGTACAAGCTGGACCATCGGCCGGGAGCGATTCCCATGACCTGAACCTGGAGAGTTCCGGCCGGGGGTATCAGGTCATCAGGGTAAAGGACTCTACCGGATTCAGGGACCAAACGAATTGAGCCACCTGGAAAGAACTTTGTCAGAGCTGGGGCGATATCTCGCACTCTGCTGCCGGGCGGAGCTTTGTATGGAACTTCTTCGCCACTCAACTTTACAAACACTGGGCCCGGGTTTTCTGCAGCGCCCTGGTACCCAGCCGTCCTCGCCATGGCAGGTCAGGAAACACAACAGAGGAGGGGTATACACAATCTGACTTGATCTGACACATGGCACATGACAAATACCATGTTCCTTCACTATGAGCAATGATACATGATAGCCGTATCAGTACGTCACTTGTCGTCATTTATGGGCGGTTGTGATGCTTGTGTTGTTGTGTATTTCTGCACACAAATGTCGCGAAGGGCAATTTGTTGCATCGGCCAAAGCGACTACAGCAAAAGGCGTCTTGCTACGACTTGTGGGTTGTATTCACGGCAATGACATAATCACATCGATAATTGCTTGAAGAGCGTCAAGGAGGTACACATCAGAAAACAAATGTAACATATGATGACCCTGAGAAGTAAACTAAGCAACTCCCATGAACACAGATTCGAGCTGTGGATCAGGATGAAGACATGAACAAACAGCTGCCACCCACGTTCCTCTCCTTGTGCCAAGGCGCCAGGCCCTTTGCAGTGTCAGAAGTAGAGATAGTCAGGCCAGTCCTGTAGGAACACATTGGAAAACTGAGCCACCACATGCCAGGACCCAATCTGCCTCATTTGCAGTCCTATTGTGAACAGTGTTTGAAGTCAGGAGGCATAAGTAAGTACAGTGACACAGCGATACAGTGATATCACACTAACAACATTGTTAGATAATAGATACTGGCAGACAGAACATTTCCTGGACTCCAAGTTGCTTGGTGTCATACATTTGATGCATATCTGTCATGGCAATTTGCCGATCACGATAGGTTGCACGTAGGGGTTCTAACGGCAAGTGGGCCATGAGCGACCCGCATCTTCTTGATGCAAATCTTTCATGAACCATCATGCCTTGTCCGATTCTCAGCCTGAGCCAGACATGGACAACTAGGGGATACTAGAATCTATCCCTGTTGAGCTGTGAACGCCCTTGCGCCTGCTTCCACGACTTCTTTTCCGGCTGGCTGCTTTGCCTAGCCATGTCCAATCATGCAGGTGGACAAACGCAGGTGACTGTGAGACATGTTCACTCGTATATCGCCACACTATATCATTCAGCCACTAGCGGCCGACATCCGCCCACCTCTCCCTTCTTCCTCTCGCCTATGCACACCCATCTCGCCTTTCCAATCTTCACCTCTGCGCATCTTTGCCCTTTACTTTTCGTTGACTTTTGGCACCTTGGTTGCCAATAGCAACAAATCAGCGAGTTCACCCAAGTAACTGCTGCTGCTGGGTGACCATGGCCAGTGAATGCCTGAGCCGAGGCAAGTCTGGGGAAGTCCTTCGTTATGATGTCAATGGCAAAATCATAGGAACATCATCATCCATGGGTGTCCAGCGTGGGCGGTTTGGTCTCCCATGCCATGTACAACGAAACCGTGTAGGGGAAGTTCAAAGAGACACGAAGCTCGTCTCTTGAACCAAAGGCCAAGGTAATCAACACCTCTAATCGGTGGTTTTAACCTTCGGAAAAGATGGCACTCAATCGGCATTGTGTGAACGCTACATACTTGAAGCTTTCGACACGTCAGGGCCGAATCCAAGCACATGACCACCCGCTTCACCTGGTCGCATCGACTCACTTTGATCCATATTGCCGCTGACATCTGTTCCAACATGTCTATGGCACCCAGTCACAGAGCCACCAATCGCCAGCCGCCAAGCCAGCGGGCGCCCGAAGATTCGACCTGGGAGCTGCCGCCAGCCATGGCTTGCAGCCATCATGCGGGGCATTGCAGTGGGCCTCCTGGGAAAATGTCCGACCGGCAAAAAACATGAGCGCTTCTCAGCATGAACTCACGCTTGCCCAAAGCATACCCTGCAAACAAAGATCTAGAACTACCTCCTGTTCCAGATATTGGCTTTGAACATGGCTAAGTCTTCTGCAACAGGGATTCGTGATATGGGACTTGCATTGCCCTTAACTGTGGTCAAGCAGAGTTTGCGGCAACCTTACAACAATGATGTTGACAATGCTCTACGGACATTGCTGCAAATTGCTCATCTTTCCGTCGCCTCTATGAAAACATGGGACGCTCGGCAAACCACGACGCTCAGCTTGCAATGCTGCGTGAGTGCAAAGGCACTTGAGCAGCAAGCTATCCATACAACTCCAAAGAAGCCACCTTATCAACTGAACAAACAGGAGGCATGACATCTTCCTGATGGACATGGACATCTAGACGTTCAGGATGTGCAAGGCTCCCTCCAATGAAGGCAATCTGCCCATGGAGAAAAACACGCAAAATGTGAGTAAACACGCCAACCGGCTGCCCGAACGCACTGGCAAGCTCAAAGGCAGCATCTGCAATCTTAGCTGGCATAGGTGGCCAATACTGAGCAGTGCCACTGAGGTCAATCTCAGCTACCCCCCCCCCATGGGTTCAAGTTGAAACCAACAGCTTTTCTAGGGGTGACTTCCCCATTCCAGGGATCCTTCTATCTAGAAAACCACCCAAAACCCTGGGGAAATGGCTGGATATTGAAAAGAACGATGGTAGAAAAGAACGGGGAATCAACCCCTAGAGCCTTAGTTGTCAAGCCCCTTGGCCCCACGCCATGTGTCTGGCCATGCGTTTCACTTCCTGGCCCGCCGACTCCAGCAGCTCCTACCGAACCGGTTCTCAAACAGCGGGAAAACACTAAAAGGAAAACAACAAGGAAACCAACCGTTGTAAGGGACCCTACATGTTTAGGAACTCATGGCATATGGAGAAACAAAAGGGTATCAAACATGAATACCCCACCATATCACTATCACCACATAGGTCTCATCAAAAACCGATACCCGTCAACCTGCAACACAGACAGGGGCCAAGCCCAAAACCGATACCCGGTCATATTCTCCGTTGCTGGAATGGAAAGGGGTGTCCAACCTACTTGTCAGGGCGATTCAGGGCGTCTTAGTCGTAGAATATCTTAGAATCATAGCGCAGGCACTGTAGCGCCCCTCAATGATTTGGGTATCTTATGGTTGTCACTCCCCAAACGATGCATCTAAATAAGCAGGAACAATCGCGAACCGAGCTCAGAGATCTCAAGTAGGCGGCACCACAGCAGTTTTCCTGCAAGTAGCGCTTGGAATGGTTCAGCGAGCATTACTCACTGGTGCTTCATGATTCTTCCTGCTCTAGGTTGTGCGGCTTCAACGCACCGATGCCACAACCCCTCCTCGTTCGCCTCACTCATACCAAGCAGCCGTCCAGAGGGCCTAGGTTGCTCCAAGCAGTGACGAATCGAATCAAAACACACGTCAAACTGCGCACTGAACATGATACGCCAAGAAATAACATGCCCCACAATGCACATGCGAGCCGTTTCGTCAAGACACAACTGGACTCACGGCAGACCCCCAAGCGCCGTCAGAGTGGGGGCTGCCCGCGTACTCGTGAACACAAGCATCACACATCCCGACGCTTCACGAACAACGGGAATGGACCAAACAATCTTCGCACGAAACTTCAAACGTGGGTGGATATGGATTCCAGCACGAAACTTCAAAGCCCAGCCATAATTGTCGGCTAGTCGATATACAGTAGTTAAAACATCTTTTGCACTGAAGGGACAATTTGACAAACCGTTATTTGCAGGGCTCTGACCAGTTGGCCCAGCCGGTCTACCGGTGAGGAACATCTGAGCACAGCACATGGACCGGGTTGGTCGGGGAGGTCCCTGACAGGGCACATGTGGGTCCTTCTTGAAATTCTGTCTGTCTTTGCAACCGACCCAAAATGCACTCCTACCTTCCAAGTAGAACCATCAGAACCGGCCACCAACGAGCTTGTCTATAGACCTCCGGCAATGTCGCAGTTGTAATCCTGCCCATGGCCAGGCCGCAACAACCTCAACTAGGCCAGGCGTGGCTTCCAGGTCAGCCCGGCATGTTGGAGCTTACCATGAGGCTGCAAATGAATGAATAGCATTCACCAGCACTGCTTCAGAACTCAGAACTCTAATCTTCGCAGGTGGGCGAAACTGGCTGCGTTTGCTTCTGCTACCCGCCCTGCACCAAGGGCTTGGCGCCGTGCTGATTCCGGATGGGTGGCCTCACACTTCCCCAAATGTAGACTGACTCGCGCGAATCAATCCACCGCCCGTTGATGGCGCCTCCGGGCTCCTGGCAGGGGCCATGCACAGAATTCAACAAAATCAAGCTGTCTACGGGTCAAATTAGGAACCAATGCTCTCCGAACTTTCAAGTGGACTCTGTGCCCCTGCTCATGTGACTAAGCACGCAAGAGCGCTCACTTTTCAAGCAGGAACAAGCACTACAAGCGCTACCATGTCCACTCATGTCGGCTCGTCACTTTGCTGCTGCGCGATGGCTTCAAACCCCAGATGACAAGTGGTCAAGCTGGGCATCGAAATGGCCAGTTTCCCATTTCTATCACATTGTCACTTCAAGTGCATTGACATACTTGGTGAGCTTTGTCAATGTCAGCTGCCCGATCCGTTTTGTTTCGTTGCATGCCTTGCCTAAACATAAAGATCTCACAGCAGCTCTTCCTTCCCGTCAAGTGCACATGTTCACAGTTCATTGATAAGAGTACCACACCTTGTGGTGGAAACTAGCAAGAATCCTTAGCCTTACGAAACATCACTTGGGTGCCAGATCACAACTGCCAGATCAAACAGTGCACACTCACTGCCAGCACGTGAATCCGGTGTACAGCTATAGTAATCCTTTCGACTCCCAATACAACAGTGTGTGGCCAACAGGCAAGACCACCCTGCCCCCTGAACTGAACGTTGCGTTGGGCAAAATGCCACTGCAAATTAATGTGGGTGTGAAGCAAGTTCGTGCCCGCAACCTCATCCCCTGCTCAGCGACCCGTTCTCCTTGCTGATGCTTCTTGGTGCCCGTTCAGTCGAGCCTGAAGGGGACACGTAACGATTTCTGATTGCCACCCTGAGGCTTGAAACCAACTGGAGCAAAGGTTCGGGCTTGACACCTGCCAAGTGCGACGCTCCCTCCGACTTGTACTTCAGTACAAGTCAGCGCTGTGAGGTCAGCG